GCCTGTAGTCCCAGCTACTCGGGAGGCTGAGACAAGAGAATCGCCTAAGCCCAGGAGTTGGAGGTTGCTGTGAGCTGTGATGCCACAGCACTCTAGCCTCCCGAGGGAGACAAAGTGAGATTCTGTCACAAAAAAATAAAAAAAAACAAAAAACCACTGGTTTACGGTTTCTTATTGTCGAGATGGGCTATAGAGATTAATAGAAAAACTACCATCCTTCTCTCCCCCAGAAAAACTACATTCTCGCCGATAAAGTTCTCAATGGTCGTATTTAGAAAAGTGTCCAAAAGGTCTCCAGTTGAGTTACTTATAGCTAATCAAAGACCGAGAGGCCCCAGAGTGTAAGGCACTTTACCTGCGTGACTAATGACAAGATCTGCCTTCCGAAGGTCTTCTTTTACCGAATCCTTGTACCTATAAACATCCAGAGCAAATGACTCAGTACGGAACGGTTCAGGTGCCACCGTTCCTCTCCCAATTTGGAGGATAAGTCGGCTGTAACCGAGGCTCTCGATTATCTGAAATGGGAAATAAGAAAAAGCGGGCCTTTTAAACTGGTTCCTGTTAAGAACAGCCAGATCAACGAGCCACGCACAAATTCCGTGTTCAGGTCGGGGGCCCGGCGGCCGGACGGCCCCGCGACGCCGACTCCGGGTAGTCTTTCAGAACTTAGTAACTCAGTTATTCCGTTTTCCCGTCCTCAGCCTGACAAGTACCTCGCTAGCCCTAAGGAATCTGACAGAGCCGGCTCACCGAGTCGGGAAAGAAGCGGTCCGGCTAAAAGAGAAGGGAGAAACTGAAAAAGCCGCAAGCTAGGAGAGGGGAGCGACCAACGGGCAGTTCTACCTCACCGGCTGGCGGGGTCGCGAGCGCTGAGGCGACGACGCCCTCCGGAGCCCACGCTTCACACGAGGACGCCAGCCGAAAGAGTGCCTCACCGCTAAGGCCCGAGCGCCAGCCAAGCGCGTGGGGGAGCAGCAGGGGCACAGCGGCTCGCTAGAGTCGCCCGAACGGCGGCCTCGGCGAGCTGAGGCGCCGGGCCCTAACGGCCGGGCTCACGGGACGCCAGACAGAACCGCGAGGTGAGGACGACTGGCCCGCGTCTGCCGAACCTAGAAGGGGCGGAGCCGTTCGAGGGAGGGGAGGAGTCGTAATAATGAGGGGCGGGGCCCAGGCGGGAGGGGCGGGGCCATGGGGAAGAGGGGAGGAAGCCAAGAATCGCGGGGGAGGGAGGGGGGAGGGGAAAGGAGGAGCAGCGGCGGGTGGGGTGGGCGAAGGAGGGGGTGGACCTCACACAGCGGGGTCATCGGGAGACGCCAGCTAAGGAGTGGCGGCACCTGTGATAGGGATGCGGGGGTTTCTTCCCAAGCGCTGCGGTCAAGCAAGGTTGCCAAGGCTAGCAGTAAGAAGGCTGACGGCCGGCGCCGACCGATGGGCTCTGAGCCACGCCGCTGCCGGGTCGCCCGCCCCACTCACTTGCAGACAGTCGTGCGATGACACACACGCAATCAGGTCGTCAAAGCTGGTGGTCCCCACAGTAACAAATACGCTCTTCATTGCGAGGATTTCAGGGTTTCGCAATCCTGAATTGCAAGGGCCGGATGTGACGCAACTAGCACTGGGACTGCGGCAGTCATGCACCGTGCGGAAGGCGGAAGTCAGCTGTGGCCGCCAGGGGGCGGTGGGACGCTGAGCTATGTCACGGTGGGGGTGGAGCTGAAAATTGCTAAAGGCACGTGTGCCAACCATTGATTTAAGCCGTTTCCCAGTGGCAGCTTCTGCGAATCCTTCGCTGTAAGGGGACGGGGGCTGGCAAATGTAATTTATTTCATTAAAGATGGTGGTTAATAACTAAAATCCTAACACCCTATCCTAAGCTTTGTTTTGGCATCATTACTTGAGTACTGCAAATTTTTTTTTTGAGACAGAGCCTCAAGCTGTCGCCCCAACTCCTGGGCTCAAGTGATTCTCTTGCCTCAGCCTCCCAAGTACCTGGGACTACAGGCGCCTGCCACAACGCCCTGCTATTTTTTTTTATTGCAGCCATCGTTGTTTGGCAGGTCCTGGCTGGATTCGAACCTGCCAGCTCAGGTGTATGTGGCTGGCGCTTTCGCTGCTTGAACCACAGGCGCCAAGCCCGCAAATCTTTTAATGACAGAGAAGTTTGGGATTCTTTATTTGCTGCCATGGTTTTTCTTGTCTTGGTTTGGGTTTTGGGGACAATCTCATTCCCACCCTGGGTAGAGTGCCATAGCGTCATAGCTCACAGCAACCTCAAACTCCTGGGTTCTGGTGATCCTCCTGCCTCAGCTAGGACTACATGCACCACCACCCCCAACTTCTAGCTAGTTTTTCTATTTTTAGTAGTGAGAGAGGATACCTGGAAGGGTGAAATCTAGGAGAACAGAGGTCTTCTCTATTCAAGGAAACCACAAGGGTACACCTGTAGGATTCTCTTCATGGTGATTCAGCTGTTAGGAATTTGTAGACTTAATTTCCTGGGACCTGGAAATTTCCACTTCTGTGTAATCCTGTAGATCTGTGGGAGCTAAACAGCATCTTCAGCTTGATTCAAACTGACAAATGAGAAAAGTACCCATGGATTTGGAAGTTTTTGATTGGAGATAAAAAGGGAAAGACCAGCCAGTCAGGGAGCAAGGCCATTTTGAATTCTATGCTATTTGCTCCACTGGCTGAAATAAAGCCCTTCGTCTTATAAACATGGTGTTTGGGGGCTCTTTCTCTCCATTGGGCCTTATCTTCCTGCAATAGTGGAAAGGGGTGTCTTGCTCTTGTTCAGGCTGGTTTTTAACTCCTGAGCTCCAATCATTCACCTCCCAGCATTCTGAGATTATAGGCATTAGCCACTGCACCTGGACTATTTGCTGCCATGTTTTGACAAGATATATTTGAGGGATGGTTTTACTTGGATTTAGCTAAGGAAATAGGAACGATAAAAGTGCCTTTTAAGGGGTGGCGCCTGTGGCTCAAAGGAGTAGGGTGCAGGACCCATATGCCAGAGGTGGCGGGTTCAAACCCAGCCCCGGTCAAAAACTGCAAAAATTTTTTTTTAAAAGTGCATTTTAAAATTAATCCCATTCTAGCCAGGCGTTGTGGCTCAGCAACTAGGTTGCCAGGCACATACACCGGAGCTTGTGGGTTCAAATCCAGCCCCCGGGCCTGCCAAACAACAGTGACAACTACAACCAAAAACTTCCCAGGCATTAGTGGCAGGTGCCTATAGTCCCAGCTGCCTGGGAGGCTGAGGCAAGAGAATCGCTTAAGCCCAAGAATTTGAGGTTGCTATGAGCTGTGACACCACAGCACTACCCAGGGTGACATAGTGAGACTGTCTCAAAAAAAAAAAAATGTAATCCAATTTAGGTGCTCTTTTTCCAAGGATGGTTCTCGAGGATCCAAAGCAGCACAGGATCTCTTAGAAGCTCCAGACATTTAATCAACATTAACAATCATCATTTGTTAAATAGAGGCAATAAGACCGGAAGCCTAAATCTTTAATCCATTGAACCATTCCACTGAGTCATCTAAAATGTAAAATTAGGTCGGTGCCTGTGGCTCAGTGAGTAGGGCGCCAGCCCCATACTCGGAGGGTCGCGGGTTCAAACCTGGCCCGGCCAAACTGCAACCAAAAAATAGCCAGGTGCTGTGGTGGGTGCCTGTAGCCCCAGCTACTCAGGAGCCTGAGGCAAGAGAATCGCCTAAGCCCAAGAGCTGGAGGTTACCATGAGCTGTGTGACTCCACGGCACTCTACCGAGGTCGATAAAGTGAGACTCTGTCTCTACAAATAAATAAATAAATAAATAAAATGTAAAATTATATATTAACATGATAGAATATAACACAGAAATTATAAATTAGGCAGGCAGGTGCAGGAGAGGTGATTCCTCAAAACTCCCCCTTCTTTCTCCTACCACCATCATACTCTTATAAAGATCCTTGTTCACTTTATCGCCTACCATTTTCTGTACTTCCTACTTAAAGGTCTCACTTTAGTTCATGTGTTTGCCTTGCCCTGCCTGGATGTATACAGAAGAGAAGTTGTGAGAAGAAATAATTTTAACCTTTTGACTGTGAACAATGCCTACAGGCATTCAAACAAGGTATTATTTCGTTGCTAACAATGCCTGTAGGAGTTGATTTTGCAAACAAAAACTTGATGAAATGTTACTATTGGGTTACCCGAGTTGAGTCTGTAAGAATTATATGCTTAGGTCTCAATATTTTCCACAGTTATGCCTGAAATAATTTGTACAACTACTGGATTCTTGTAGGAGTGTATATAAATATGGAGTATGATGAATTTGGAGAGTCATCAGGCTCAGAAAACTCATTGTTGGAGAACATGGATATAGAGGTAGCTCTAAAAATACTTCTCACAAAAAAATAAACTGTCAAGTAGATCAGAATCTGATTTGAAAAACAAAACTGTAGGCTCGACGGCCATAGCACAATGGTTATGGCGCCAGCCACATACACCGAGGCTGGTGGGTTTGAGCCCGGCCCAGGCCAGCTAAACAATGACAACTGCAACAAAAAATAGCAGGACACTGTGGCAGTCGCCTGTAGTCCCAGCTTCTTGGGAGGCTGAGGCAAGAAAATCTCTTAAGCCAAAGAGTTTGAGGTTGCCGTGAGCTGTGCCATCACAGCACTCTACGGAGGGCAACATAGTAAGATTCTGTCTCAAAAAAAATAAATAAATAAAATAAAACAGAACTGTAGAAACTATTTCAAATTTAAATTCTATAAATAGGCCCAGCCCAGTGGCTCACGCCTGTAATCCTAGCACTTTGGGAGGCCGAGGCAGGTAGATTACCTGGGCTCACAAGTTCAAGACCAGGCTGAGATCCTTGTCTCTAAAACTGGCCAGGAGTTGTGGCACATGCCTGTAGTCCTAGCTACTCAGGAGGCTGACAAAGGAATCACTTGAGCCCAAGAGTTTGAGGTTGCTGTGAGTTATGACGCCACAACACTCTACCAAGGGCGACAATGTGAAACTCCGTCTCCAAATAAATAAATAAATAAATTCTGTATACTACAGGGAAAACATTAAAGTGGTACAAAAAGGTTTTTCTCCCCCACATTCATGATTTATCAATTTATAATTCTTATGTACTTTATAAAACTGCAACCAATAAAAATTTTTAAATTGTGCAATTTCATCTATACCTAATTAGAGAAATTCTGGGAAAAATGTCTGGTTGACAAGACGACTAACTCTGGAGGGAGAACTGTTTCTGGTAACAATCCATTCTTTCTCGTAGAAAGGTATTTTTCATCAAAGTATAGCAATCCGGCTCGGCGCCTATGGCTCGGCCGGCTAGGGCGCCAGCCACGTACAACTAAGGTGGCGGGTTCGAATCCCCAGCCCGGACCCGCCAAACAACAATGACGGCTGCAACCAAAGGATAGCCGGGCGTTGTGGCGGGCGCCTGTGGTCCCAGCTGCTTGGGAGGCGGAGGCAGGAGACTCGCTTGAGCCCAGGAGTTGGAGGTTGCTGTGAGCTGTAATGCCACGGCACTCTGCCCAGGGGGACAGCTTGAGGCTCTGTCTCGGGAAAGAAAAAAAAAAAAAAAAGTATAGCAATCCAACAGGAATATGGCAAAATGCTCACTAGAGATGTGTTGTTTGCATGAAACATGTCAATGCAAACAATGTAATGTTGGATTATGCATCAAACTGTGTTTTCAATTGCACCATTCAAAGGGGATTATTAAATTTTTATTGACATGGTAAAGCTTTATCATTTCGCATTAATTTTTTGTTTGCATATTACTCGTTTACAGATATAAAATATTGAAACTGAAACCAACTAGGGTGAATTAAATTGATCAATAAGAAACCCAAGAATATCCAAGAGCACTCCATGTATACTAACACTTGTGATCTTTGCATGCCTCAATTTACACATTTCATTTTTGGGGGGTGGGGACAGATTCTCACTTTGTTGCCCTCAGTAGAGTGCACAGGTGTTACAGCTCACAACAACTTCCAGCTCTTGGGCTTAGGCGATTCTCTTGCCTCAGCCTCCCGAATAGCTGGGACTATAGACGCCCACCACAATGCCTGGCTATTTTGTTGTTGTTGCAGTTTGGCCGGGCCAGATTCAAACTTGCCACCCTCAGTATATGGGGCTGGAGCCCTACCCACTGAGCCACAGGCACAGGTTAGTTTGTTGTTTGTTTTTTGTTGTTGTTGTTGTTTGCAGTGTTTTTTGGCTGGGACTGGGTTCGAACCCACCACCTCTGGTATATTGGGCCGGCACCCTACTCCTTGAGCCACAGGCGCCACCCTGCTCATTTCATTTCTGAGCGTTCCACAGTCAAGGGGTTAGGAGGAAAGGTTTTGGTTATGAGTTGGGCCTAGAACATAGTCTGAGAAGACTCTTACACCTAATTCTACATTTTTTTTCTTTAATCTTGTAGTTTGGATATCTGTCTTATTGAGGAGTGATATACTGCTATTCTTTTTTTTTTTTTTGAGACAGAGCCTCAAGCTGTCCCCCTGGGTAGAGTGCCCTGGCATAGCTCACAGCAACCTCCAACTCCTGCCCGGGCTCAAGCGAGTCTCCTGCCTCCACCTCCCAAGT